GGAAAACACGGACACAGGGGCAAGGGCCGTGCCAGGGTCACAGCACAGCCCAGGACAGGGGCACACCTGCCCATCCCTCCCGAAAAGATACTCCCTGAAAATAGTAATTCCCTAAAAGATAAATATGAAATGAGAAAAAAAAAATTATAAAATAAATGAGATTAAAATAAATAAAGAATAAATAATAAATAAATAAAAAATAATATTAAAAAAATGAGAATAAAATGCATAAAACGAACAAAATGACTGCTTAAAAAATAATTATTAGAAATACATCCACCAATTGAGTAAAAAATAAAGATAAAATAAAATAGTATTAAAATTAACAAAAAAAATTAAAATAAATGATAGAAATAATTAAATAAAAAATAAAATAAATTTTCATTACAATGAATAATAATAAAATACTACTTAAAATAACAATAAAATAAAAATTACTATATTAAAATAGATAAAATATAAAAGAAAAAATATTAATAAAATAACTATTAAAATAATAAGTAAAACTATTAATAAAAAGCAAAAATAAATTATAAATACAATAATATAATAAATAGCTAAAATTAAGATTAAAATTAACATAAAAATTAATTTAAACAAATAAATAAAATACACACAATTAAGACAAATAATAAAAATAAAATATTTTATAAAAAAATAAAAAATACAATAAAAAATAAAATAAGCTAGGCACAAATAAAAATAAGCTAGGCATAAATAAAAATAGAAAACCCAAAATAAATTAGAGAAATAAATATAAAATTAAAAATCATAAATAGGAAACTCCCTAAAAATGATCCCCTAAAGCAGCTCCCATCACTCACCAGCCTCTGCCAGGGCAGCAGCCACCTCGTTCTGTGTGGAGTAAATGTTACAGGCGGCCCAGCGGCACTGGGCACCCAGGGCACAGAGGGTCTCGATGAGCACCTGGGGAGGGAAACAGGGATCAGGGATACAGGGATATACAGGGGCACCCAGGGCACAGAGGGTCTCTATCAGCACCTGGGGAGGGAAACAGGGATCAGGGAAACAGGGATACAGGGATATACAGGGGCACCCAGGGCACAGAGCGTCTCTATCAGCACCTGGAACAGGGATACAGGGATACAGGGATACAGGGATACAGGGATCAGGGACACCCAGGGCACAGAGCGTCTCGATGAGCACCTGGAGAGGGATACAAGGATCAGGGATCAGGGATCAGGGATGAGGGATACAGGGATCAGGGATCAGGAATACAGGGATACAGAGACACCCAGGGCACAGAGCATCTCAATCAGCACCTGGGAACAGGGGCAGGGATCAGGGATATCCCAGGGATCAGGGATACCACAGGGATCAGGGATATCCCAGGGATCAGGGATACCCCAGGGATAGAGGATACCCCGGGATCAGGATACCCCAGGGATCAGGGATACCCTGGAATCAGGGATACCCTGGGATCAGGGACACCCCAGGATCATGGAAGGCCTGGGGCAGCAGTGACAGGCACAGGAACCGATCCCAGATCAGCTCCTGGGGAAAGGCTGCAGCACTTCCCAAAGTGTTCCTGGAGTTCTGAAGGTGCCTCATCCCTTTCCCAAGGCTGGGATTGTGTTCCCCAGGGAACAGCAGGGCTCTCCCCGGGACTCACCGCGGTCTGGGCCGTGATGTGGGTGCAGCCCACGATCTTGGCTCCAGCCAAAGGCTTCTCCCCCTGGGCTCTTTTCCTGAGTGAAATCAGAGCAGACATGTCTGCAAAAGGAAGAGAGGGGTTAATGCCGGCTCTGTCCGGAGCTGCTGGAGCTCCTCTCCCACTTTTGGGCTCTCCCAGGGTCCCTCCGGCCCCACCACCTGTGCTGGAGCTGTTCCACAGCCCGGGAGCAAACTCCCCGTGCCTGGGCTGTGCCAAACGGGACCAACCACGGGGTCATTTGTCACTTGGCCACGCCAGGAGAGAGGGGTGGGCCTGGCTCTGCCCCGGGAGGCACCGGGGACAGCCACAGCCCTCGGAGCACCCAGGGGTGACCCCGGAGCTGCCACACCTCAGGAGCTGCTCCAAACGGGCCTGGATTACCTCCCCCTTCTAACGGGAGAGCAGTGTCATCCAATCACCCCACTGGAAATGGGAACTCGGCTTCCCACGAGCCTCGTGGGAAGGGCTTGGGGCTCCCGGTTTCCATAAATGTTCCAAGATCCTTGTCCACCCAAAGCCACCAACATTCAGCCCCACAAGGGCTCAAAAATGGCTGTGACAGGGCACCAACGTCTGCTGGCACATCCAGCTCTTCCCTGACTGATCTGAGGGGGAAAACAGGCTCTCCAAGGCTGGAGCAGGAGTGGGAATCCCCAGGGCTCAGCTCCTGGTCTGCCCCAGATCCCATAATGCCAACATTCCAGCCGTACCTTGCTCCGCGATCTCGATCTCCCGGCGCCCGAACTCGGCCTGTTTGATGTTCTTCACACAGAAATTGCTGCTGCCCTTGGAGTTGGTTTGTTGCTTCTCCCGGGGGGACACCTCGTCATCGGAGCTGTCTGTGTAGGATGCAGCTACCCCAGAGGGGAGAGACCTCAGAGCTC